TGTAAGTGCTCGCGTTGCGTGGACACGCGCGCGTGTACACACGCGCGCGTGTACAGATCGGAAACGTTCGTACGTTGTCGTGCTTTTTGGTGCGAAAGAACACAAAGAAAAGAACATGTTTAATACGAAAGGACAAGCTTTTTGTATTTTAAGATTTGTAAATTAAGATAAAGGCCGAGTCATCAACGTTGTTTACCCGGCCAAAACCAAGTAACCTAAAGATAAAACATGAATAAAGATTAATGAACATTTACAGTAAACAACGAGACTCACAAACGTGTATATTTCAAGTGTGAATATTTGTGAGTATGACACATTTTATACGGACAAGCCGATATATTTTGTGATTTACAAGAAGATATAAAGAATATAGTATGGCTATGGACCCAGGTGGCCATAAGACGGATGAAGTACGATCGAAAGTCTGCGAAAAAGACTTAGAAGAGAACATCTCGAAGGGAAAGAACAGCGAACAATTATTCGAAGACGAAGGTAATATTGATAAGTCCATTGTAATCAATACAGAAGACGATACGGGGAGTACTCGAAGCGTAGATGCAGAAGAACAACAGGCACGAATACAAGAAAGGGCGTACAAGTAAACTTAGAAAATGCACGAAAAAAGACGAAAAAGTCAGGTATGGCTGTAGAATCTCGTATAAATCGTATAGATGAATTACTTAGAGAACAGTGTTGTGATATTGTGAAGCTCACTGCTAGTAAAGATGGTCTACAAATGGATATGGATGACTTTAAGCGATTTAATGAAGAGTTATCGGATTTGTTATTATTGTCTTTGAGTGATTATAATTCTAACATTGAGGATCAAGTGTATTTTGAGGGTATTCGTGAGAAGTACTTAGAGTGCTGTGCTGATGTTAAAACTAGAATAGGTGATTTAACACAAGAGAGATTGGAGATGCTTTCGCAGAAAACTTCGAACAGTGTTAAAAGTCGAATGTCGAGATTATCAAGGGCTTCATCTGTGTCGTCTAAACAAGCCGCTGCGAATGCTGCAGCATTAAAGGAGAAAATGCTCAGTCTTAAAAGGAAACAAAATATCGAAAGACAGCAAGAAGAGCTTAAACATCATCAAAGAGAACTAGAATGGCAAGTGGAACAAGAACAATTACAAGGTGAGATCAATGCTGCAGAAGTTTTACATCAAGCACTTTTGGGAGATACCATGTTGCTAAGTAGTAATACCCAACCTACATCTAACACTTTGCATGAAAATACCACTGAAATGAGTCAATTGCCAACTATTGCCAAGGATATGAACACTGGGACATCCAGTGACATGACAAATGCCCTAAATCCCACTGCACCCCTAAATCCCACTACACCCCTAAGTCCCACTACACCCTCGAATCCTATTACAACCCCAAATCCCACTACACCTTCAACTCCTACTACACCCTTAAATCCCACTACACCCCTAAATCCCACTACACCCCCAAGTCCCACTACACCCTCGAATCCTATTACAACCCCAAATCCCACTACACCTTCAACTCCTACTACACCCTTGAATCCTACTACACCCTTAGATCCAACTAAACCTGCATTTACACCTGTTAATGCCCATACCCAACCTGTTAACCATTTACAACCAACTACTACTACAAGTCCCCTAGAGCAAATACAAAGAGAGACATTTGAAATTCAAAGACAACAAGTAGAATTAATGAAAAGGATGTCGCTTCCGACTCCGAAACCGCCTGTATTTAGTGGTAATATTTTGGCCTACCCAAAGTGGACGTTAGCTTTCGATGCCTTGATTGACGGTGAAGCTGTAAACCCAGCACATAAGTTATACTACCTTGGGGAATATACTAGTGGACAAGCCCAGAAAATGATTGATGGATTGTTGGGGCTGCAATCTGATGATGCGTATAAGAGAGCTAGGCAGATATTGCAAGAACGCTTTGGTGATCCATACAAGATTTATCAGGCATACAATGAAAGGCTTAAGTCATGGCCAGTATGCAGCAAAGCTTCCGAGCTTCAGGAATTCAGCGACTTTCTGGTAACAGTGCAAGAAACTATGAAAACAGTGAAGCACCTCAAGGACTTTGACACCTTTTCTGCTATTCAAGACCTGGTAGTAAGACTTCCACCTTATTACAGCAAGAAGTGGTTACAAAGTGCGAAAGCGGTTGAGCTTGTTAAAGGAAAGTATGATTTTAACGACCTAGTTGACTTTGTGCAAAAGGCAGCAAAGGATGCAACTCATCCAGTGTTCTCGCATGAAGTTCTGTTATCTAAGAGAAAGGAGTTGTTGAAAGACAAGAAGCAAGAAGACAAGAATAGTTATCACAAGAGAAAGTTTGGCTCATTCAACACAAGTAAGTACAATGAAAGCTCTGGTCATAGTGATAAGAACATAAATGAACTCATGTGCCCTGCATGTAGAAAGCCTCACAAATTGGAGAACTGTGACATATTCCTAAAGAAGTCTGTAAAGGAACGATCAGAATTAGCTAAGTCGAAAGGGCTTTGCTTCCTGTGTTTATGTCATGGTCATATGGCCAGGAGTTGCAAAGAATCCATTAGATGCCAGACTTGTAAGAAACCCCATGCCACACTTCTCCATTTTGAATCCAAGGAGTCTAAGAACGGGAATAAGAACGAGAACGAAGAGTCTAGCAAAGAAAAGCCTAAAGTAGCTAATCGTGTCGTAGTGTGTCATAGCAATGATTGCAATGAAGTAACAACATCGTCTTTAATACTTCCGGTATGGATATGTCACAAGGACAATCCTGAGAAGAAAATAATGACATATGCTGTTTTAGATGATCAAAGTGACACATGCTTTGTAACGGACAGTGTTTGTGATCAGTTAGAAATTGAAGGACCTGAGACTGTGATTGAGTTAGGAACAATGCACGCTGTAGAAGATATCAGAACCCAGAAAATTAGCGGTCTTATTGTTTCATCGGAAGATAAGTCAGTAGATGTACCTTTACCAAAAGCTTATTCCCGTGAAAATATTCCAGCACGTCGAGATCAGATCCCTAGAGTAGAAATGGCGATCAATTGGAGTCATTTGAGTCCAATTGCCAATGAAATACCAGAATATCGTGATGATCTCGGTATTGGTCTCCTAATTGGTAACAATTGTGTCGAAGCTATCAAACCACGTGACGTTATTCCCGGAAAACCTCAAGACCCGTATGCTATTAGAACTGTATTCGGTTGGGGTTTGATTGGAGTAACAAACCCTGTTGATCACCGCGAATGCCAATCAGACGGAACTAGAATACATTGCCATCGAGTTACAACCAAAGATATCACAACCCAGAGTACCGGTTCAACCTTTGTAGAGCAAACCCAAGTAAAGGAAGTATTGAATCCTCACGAAGTGTTAAAGATGTTTGAACAGGACTTTTCGGAAAAGAAGAGAGAGAAACCAATGTCGTTAGAAGATCGAATGTTCCTGGATATAACGAAAAGAGAGATTCACGTTACTGACGATGGACATTATGAGTTGCCACTTCCGTTTCGAAACGACAAAGTTGAATTACCGTCGAACAGAAAGCTTGCTGAATCAAGGTTAGATGGCCTTAAAGCAAAGTTCGCCAAGGATGTCAAATACAAAAGAGATTATATGCAATTTATGGATGATATGATGAAGAAAGGCTACGCTGAGAAAGCTCCACAGACTGATGGAAAACCGTGGTATATACCTCATCATGGAGTGTACCATACACACAAACCCAATAAGATCAGGGTCGTATTTGACTGCTCAGCCGAATATGAAGGTCAATCATTAAATCAACATCTTTTACAAGGACCTGACCTAACGAACTCGCTCACTGGTGTACTTTGTCGATTCCGCGAAGAAAGAATAGCGTTTACGTGTGACATCGAATCCATGTTCTGTCAGGTACGTGTGAATGAAGAGCATCGCGATTACTTAAGGTTCTTGTGGTGGCCTGACGGAGATACATCGAAGGAGCCCGAAGACTACAGAATGCGAGTCCACCTATTTGGAGCAACGTCATCACCCGGATGTTCCAATCTAGCGTTGAAAACCACGGCCAAAGCTGGTGAAGAAGAGTTTGGAACAGATGCCACCTCATTTGTCGAAAACTGTTTTTATGTTGATGATGGGTTAAAGTCCGTTGAGAAGGTAGAGCAAGCGACTAAGTTGATAAAAAGCAGCATTGAAATGTGCCAGAAAGGCGGATTTCGTCTACACAAGTTTACTGCAAACAAGCGAGAAGTGATCGAGTCCATTCCCGTTGACTACCGTGCTACCGAAGTCAAAGAACTCGATCTGAGTCACGATATACTTCCGATCGAACGAGTGCTAGGAATGGAGTGGTGCATCGAAAGTGATTCTTTTCGGTTTCGCATAACCTTAAAGGACAGACCACTTACAAGACGCGGGGTTTTGGCAACTATAAGTTCCATTTATGATCCCCTCGGACTCGTTGCCCCTGTTCTACTCACTGGAAAAAAGATCCTACAAGCCCTGTGCAAAGAGAATGCTGATTGGGATGACCCTCTGCCAGAAAAGCTTAGAATAGAGTGGGAAAGATGGAGAAAGGACATTCATTTGTTGGGAAACATGAAAGTTGAAAGATGTTACAAACCTGAGAGCTTTGGAGATGTGAAGAAAACTGAACTTCATCATTTCTCTGACGCAAGCTGTGAAGGGTACGGTCAATGTTCGTATATAAGATTGGTTGATGATAGCGATAGAATCCACTGTTCGTTAGTTGTGGGCAAATCTCGTGTGGCGCCACTGAAACAAGTTTCGATTCCAAGGTTAGAGCTAACAGCCGCGGTTGTTTCTGTCAAAGTCAGCGCCATGCTTCAAGAAGAACTCGATTATAAGAGCATCGAAGAGATATATTGGACAGATAGCAAAGTCGTTTTAGGATATATTAACAATGATGCGCGTCGCTTCCATGTATTCGTGGCTAATCGCGTCCAACAAATCAGAGATCATTCGTCAAAGGATCAGTGGAATTACGTTGAGTCAAAGTTAAATCCAGCTGATGAGGCATCCCGAGGTTTAAAGGCCTGTGATATTGTGAGCGATTCGAGGTGGATAAACGGTCCGTCATTTCTATACGAAGCTCACCAAGATTGGAATCATTTTAACCAACCGGATGACAAAGCAAAGCTGGAAACAGATGATGTCGAAGTAAAGAAAGTCACAACCTTTGCAACATCTGTGAAAAAATTCGCGGACGTGGTAGAGAGATTAGAATACTTTTCGAGTTGGCACCGAGCCAAGAAGGCCATCGCTATTTGTCTTCGTTATCGCAGATTGTTACGTCAAAGGGTACGTAAGAAAAGGGAGGAAAAGGATGTCGAGAACATTGAGAAAGCAGCAACTGTTATGAAACCTGACCAAGCTGTTACTGTGGAAGAAATGAATGCTGCTGAACGGGAAATAATCAAGGCACTGCAGAAAGAAGAATTCAAACAGGAGATAAGCTCGTTAAAGTCAAAACCCAAAGTCAATGTACCGGAAACTCAACGACGGCGAAATACGGTAGCTAGAACTAGCCCGATTGCTAAACTCGATCCCTTTATGGACGAACATGGAGTTATACGAGTAGGAGGAAGAATTCGAAGATCTAGTATGGACGCTAATATCAAGCATCCGGTAGTCTTACCAAAGAGAGCTCACGTTTCGAAGCTGATAGCAAAACATTTTCACCAGAAGATTGATCATCAAGGACGAGGGATAACTTGGAATACGATACGTGCTTCAGGATATTGGATCGTCGGTTGCAAAGATGTTGTAGCTAAACTTATCAAAGATTGCGCCGTTTGTCAAAGATTTCGAGCGAGTGTCAAAGATCAGAAAATGGCAGATCTTCCGAAAGAACGGGTTGAGACCTCACCACCATTCACATACAGTGCGGTCGACTATTTTGGACCATTCTACGTAAAGCAAGGCCGGAAAGAATTAAAACGATACGGTGTATTGTTCACGTGTTTAGCCTCAAGAGCTATTCATCTAGAAGTTTCTCACACTCTAGAAACAGACTCGTTTCTAAACGCCTTTCGACGATTTGTCTCCAGACGAGGACCCGTGCGAGAACTGCGTTGTGATCGTGGAACGAACTTTGTAGGCGCCAGTACGGAATTGCAGAAGTGTTTGAAAGAAATGAATCACGATAAGATCAAAGAGGAATTGCTAAAAGAAAGTTGCGATTGGTTTCAATTCAAGTTCAACGTCCCGAAAGCCAGCCATATGGGAGGAATTTGGGAGAGACAAATCAGGACAGTTCGGAATGTCTTAAATGTTCTTCTATACCAAAATGGCAGTCAATTGAACGATGAATCGCTTCTTACCTTCATGTGCGAAGCGGAATCTATCGTCAATAGTCGTCCGCTTAGTGTTGACAATCTCGGTTTACCGGACAGTTTAGAGCCGTTAACACCCAATCATCTGCTTACGATGAAGAGTAAGGTTCTTCTTCCCCCACCAGGAGTGTTTCAGAAAGAAGAAATGTATCTACGTAAGCATTGGCGAAGAGTTCAACATCTATGCAATGAGTTTTGGTCGCGTTGGAGAAAAGAATTTCTGCATTCCCTGCAAGAACGCCAAAGATGGCTCAAACCGAAACAGAATCTCGAAGTCGGAGATATTGTTATCGTCGCTGAAGAAGAATCATCCCGAAACTGTTGGCCATTAGCTCGCGTAGTGAATGCTGAGAAAGACGAAGATGGCCTAGTTCGAAAAGTAAAGTTGATGGTCGGCGAGCGGAGACTCACGAAGCAAGGAAGAAGAGAGAAGCCTCTCGTTAGCCTGGAACGTCCAGTCCACAAGTTGATATTGTTGATCCAAGGAGAAAGACCGGGAATCCCCGCCGAAGAGCCTGATGACAAATGATACCGACATTGCTGATAAACGTTAAGTTCATGTTATTGTTGTTTATATTTAGTAAATTCGAATTTCGAATTTAGGGGAGCCATGTAAGTGCTCGCGTTGCGTGGACACGCGCGCGTGTACAGATCGGAAACGTTCGTACGTTGTCGTGTCTTTTTTGGCGCGAAAGAACACAAAAAAAAGAACATGTTTAATACGAAAGGACAAGCTTTTTGTATTTTAAGATTTGTAAATTAAGATAAAGGCCGAGTCATCAACGTTGTTTACCCGGCCAAAACCAAGTAACCTAAAGATAAAACATGAATAAAGATTAATGAACATTTACAAACACATTCATCACCAATTACGATTGTATTTGCATCACCAATTACGGTTGTATTTGCTGTGATTCGACCACTTGTTGTTGTTGTACAAACAAAGTACTGGCTTCAATAGCGTCATTTGCATTTGATAGTTTTGTTTACTTTTATTATTAATATCTTTATGTAGTATATAACTAACATGGGCTTTGTTTGGTGGCCCAACCATGGACATACCAAAAAATTGGCGGTCCATCGAAACTGCCCAAAGATTTTCCATGGCCCATCCCAAATCACTCCAGCCCACCCTAGCAGTTAATAAAAAAGGAAATTAGTTCAACAGTGAAATGTATTACGTTTAATTGTTAAAGTATTCTTTGTATCCTTCAACAACACGCTGTCGCAAATGGTAGAAAAAGTTGGGAGCATTTTTAGCCACCAACCATTCATTCCTCTTTGGAAACCATCCATTATAATTATTGGTTGCTAACATCAACGTTTCACACTTGTGCCCAGGCTCTTCTTCGTCTTGCACGGCGATGTAAAAATTCCCACCGTTCGTTGCGCGAACAATACCGTCAGCCCCCGCTGGCCTAGATGGATGCGTGGCATCCAGGAGGAAAATAGCAAAAGCTTTTTTGCCAAACCAGTCGTTGGTTTCGTACGGAGGTGAAATATATACCAGGTAGTCGCGGTCACTCAACGGAAATGCTAAATTCACAACTGAGCGTGCAATACATCCACCATTTGGTAACTTCTCAAACATTTCCATAGCTGAAATTATAATATAAAAATTACAAGTTAAAAAAAATTAATAAAAGTAATAAATTAATAAATTAATAATTACAAGTTAATAAAAATTACACGCCGCCATTTTTGCCGATGGCAGTTTTCAGCCGAAGTCTGTGAGGATAAGTCCGGCATAATAGCGACTTTTTATAATTTTTTGGGCGAATTATGTTAAAATTTGCTTTGTAAATAGTTAGTTTACGAGATTATTGGTTTACGAGAATTAGATGCCACCCAAAATGGCGGATATTCGTCATGTTATGTGGCACCAATCAACTATTTCGCTGACCTCAGAATGACATTTCGTCAAAAACGTTTTTCTTCAAGATTGGTTTAGAAACAAATTTGGAGTAGGGTTAGGTTCGGGTTAGGGTAAGGATTAGGGTTAGAGTTGGTGTTTGGAGTAGGGTTAGTGTTAGTAAAACCGTTGCTTTGTGGACTTATCTCGCAGACGTCGGCTGAAAAGCCACCCGCCGGGCAAAAATGGCGGCGTGAGAAAGGTTAATTTTGAGTAGCGTCATGTAATGTTAATGAAGTCTGTTTTCGACTACTATTATTATTATTATTATTATTGATCTTTAAACACGGTAACCTTTCACATAGGTGATTTTCAAAGGGCCGTGCGGAAAATAAATGCATTATTAAAGAAGGAACTAATAAACTAAATTATACTAATTTACAAAATATACTTAATATTTACTTTTTTACTTATTTACAAGATGTAATTATTTAATAGATGATGGACAGATTTTAAACTTGTTGATTCTCTTAGGGTTTTCAACAAGTTTACTGGGATGTTGTTCCAATACGCTGCTCCTCTGTACGAAAAGCTATTTTTCAAGAAATTCGTTTTTGGTTTAGGTTGAGACAGCTTTAAATTACTACTGCGCAGTACGTAACTATTGTTTTCGCAAGTGTGAAATAGTTGTGTTACGTAGTCTGGAAGCATGCCATTAATCGCTTTAAATGTCATAAGGAGATCTCGCTTTTTCAAAACTAAGTCAAGAGGTTTCCAGCTAAGTTTTTGAAAAATGTCCGAAGATCTTATAGTATAGTCCGAATTTGTTATTATTCTTGCTGCTCGTTTCTGAAGCTTATATAATTTGTCTTTGTGTGTTTGGTTGTTATTTTGCCAAACAGTTGAACAGTAGTTAAAATGAGGCGCGACTAATGCGTTATACATAATTTTGAGCGTATCTAGGCCAACAAAATCTTTGGCTTTTCTTAAAAGATTAATATTTTTTGATATCTTGTTACATTGTTCTTCATTTTGCCTATTCCAGCTAAGTCTATCGTCTATAACTATACCCAAAGCTTCCTTTTTATAAACTCGTTCAATTTGATGTCCGTTTATACTGATTTTTGGCACGTGATCTAAGTTTTTCAATCGTTGCCGAGATCCAATAATCATATATTTGGTTTTTTCGTTGTTTAATGTTAGTTTATTCGCTGATAACCATTTTTGAGCATTTACTAGGTCTTTGTTAAGTTTGTATTCAATATCTATGGATAAATGCCCTTGACATGATAAAATTGTGTCATCAGCAAATAAATTAGAATGTGTTGTTTCTAGGCAGTTTGGGAGGTCGTTTATGTAAATGAGAAATAATAGAGGTCCAAGATTTGAACCCTGAGGTACTCCACAACGAATTGTTTCAATATCAGATTTACAGTTATTTAGCATGCAAATTTGCTTTCTTTGATCTAAATACGATTGGAACCATTTGAGTGTGTGGTCGCGTATCCCATAAGCTTGTAGTTTTGACAATAGAATCTGGTGATCAATCGTATCAAATGCTTTTTTCAGGTCTAAGAAAATAACCCCATTTATTTGACCCTGGTCCATTGCTTTCAACCACATTTCAGTAGATTGTAGTAACGAGGTTTCGGTTGAGTGATTGCGACGGAAGCCTGATTGATTTTTTACAATTATGTTGTTGTTATCCAGGAAGGTATTTAGTTGTCTACAGACTAATTTCTCAAATATTTTGGCGATATTCGAAATGACTGATATCGGTCTATAGTTTTCACATAAGGTTTTGTTTTCTGACTTATATATTGGAGTCACTTTGGCAAATTTCCAATCATCTGGAAATATTCCTGTCCTAAGAGATCGGTTAAACACTTCTAGAAGTGATTCAGTTATTGTATCGCCTGCCTGTTTTATTAGCTTAGTTGAGATCTTATCTAGACCTGTAGATTTTGCCATTTGCATATTTTGTATTTCTCTTTTCAGCTCATAGCTTGATATGCTATGAAAGTGAAATACATTTGTGACTTGGTCTATATATGACAAAGGATCAGGACTACAGCCATTGTCAGAAATGTTATTTGCTAATTTGGGACCTATAGAAGTGAAGAATTTATTAAACTCGTCGACTATGGCTTTATCTTGTGTTACATTTTTTCCATGGTCTTTGTTATTTTTTCCATGGTCTTGTGTTACATTTTTTCCATGGATTTTTTCCATGACCGAAATTGTTCGCAAGAAGACAAAATAATACTGGGCACTCTGGAAAAACCAATGATAGAATGCTCAATGGATAACCAGAGCATAATAAAGAAAGACAAAAACGTAGCAAGCTTTGTTGACAATTTCAATGCTTTGTACTCCGTCTTTTACACCATGCCGGCTTCACGCGGTACGAAACCAACCTCGTCCCCAGGATCCTGGGGACGAGGTTGGTACGAAACTATTGTACTGTACTGTACTGTATTGTACTGTGTATCGTGAGTTATATTGTTATTCTAATGAGTTTCACAGCTATCTAATTCCCTTCGATGTCAAGCCATGCATAGCGTGGGAAAGGCTAACACTATTCATCAACCCCGCGCTTTCCCTTGTGGAGATATCAAATTCTTTCCCCTTAATTAGCTTGCTTTTAGATTCTTACCCAAATAAAACCCTATTGAGAACAGCTATTTCAATTAAGGTTGTCCACGAGCAAAGCGGGAAAGTCGAATACGAGCGCGAAAGGCTGCTGGGAATCGCTATGAAAATTCATTAATTTGCTATAGTGATTCCCAGCAGCCTTTCGCGCTCGTATTCGACTTTTCCGCTTTGCTCGTGGACAACCTCATAGGCGTACCGGGCGGGGGGTACCGCCCCCCCCCCAGTTTTTTGGGCAGTCGGGCAATATTCGATCAACAGTCGGGCAATTTTGGTTTGTAATAAAAATAAATGGGACAAATTCTGTCAATTTAGTCAAAAATTCAGTAAATTTTGTGGTCAATTTTATGTTGTTTGGAAAATTTGTGTGATGTTCCGAAAAATTTTGGTATGTCCGGAAAAAATTTTTGACCCCTAAAATGGTACACTGACCGAAATTTTTCGGGGGGGGAGGTCGCCGAAATAATTATTCCGGAAAAATTTTTTTAGGTACTAGTCGGGCACAATCCCGAAAAGTCGGGCAAATTTCTTTCCGACCCCCTAATTTTTTCCTTCCGGTACGCCCATGGACAACCTTAATTGAAATAGCTGTATGTTCCGCTTCGCTATCCCCCTAAGGCCCTAATCCAACAAACGCTTTGTGATCCCCATACAGGCAGTATTAATACCCTCGCTGTTACCCACATGTGGTTGTGGTGTTTTCCCATTTCTCGCGTAAATCCATCTTGTCTGGAGACATCATTTCGATGAATTTCTCTGCCGACATCGGCATATTCTCGAAGCGATAAAGCACTTTAACAGGCACCTCCTCATTTGGAAATGTTTTGGTCCAGCAATTATATTCATTCACAATTTGATACCTTCGTGTCCAACCGTCACCCTTATCTAAGTCTTGTTTGAGAAGTTTCGCTTTTTCCCAAGCCTTTTCCACATCCAAATGTGGTGCATCAATGTCTTCGCGTTGTGTTTCCGCCATCACGAATAGGATATCACGATTAATAATGAATGCATGAATCTAAACAAAAACCCAACAGACCAACACTTGTAATCCAGTTCAATTCAACTCAATGCAATTCAATGACGTGTTTCCCCCGCGTTTGACGTAAATAATTAAAGAACGGGTAAATATCGAGATTTTGGCACGACATCAGTTTTAACAGTCAATGAAATAGCCTAAACATTTGTAATGGTATAGTAACAAGCAGAAACGTACGGAAGTTATCGAAAGCGTAACCTTCGTTGTTAAACGTTGCTCCTGGGCAGCAAACGAAAACGGGTTTCTTTGTTGGCATCTCACTTTAGTTTGCAATAGTTGAAGGCCTGAAGGGGGCAAGGGGGTCTCGTCACGAAATCACGAAGATCATTTTCAGATTTCACGAAAAGCAAATTTTCATTTTCACGAGTTTTAGAAACACCTGAGAAGCGTAACAAAGTCTGAAATCATTTAACGATTTTCTAGACAGCAGAAATCGATGTTAACACAAACACATTTTACTGACTTTAACATTAGAGCTTTTAAAGGACTGTGGAAATCATTACGAGGCATTAAGAAACATTACTAGCGTCCTACGATGGTTCACCAAGTCTACGACGTTTATGATGAAACGAAGAAACCTCAAGAAAGATAACCGCGGAAAGCAAATTTATTCATTTTTTTAGCCTCAATATTAAATTTGGGCCGAGTTTTAAACGTAAACATTCACAAGTTAGGGTAAAATATTGGTAAATTCAGGACCCTAGCTAGCCCTTTTAGCTCTTCACGTTCACGGCACGCATATTAATCACGATTCCCGGAATGGTATTTCTTCAAATCACGAATCACGAATAATTGCTAATCACGAGTCACGAAAAAACCCTTTCCCCCCCCCCCTCCCTGAAAGACTGACTCGTTCCCTGCAGTCGCTCGCGTTGGATGATGGGAATCTGGTGCAGGCAGGGCCGGAGCTACGGGGGGTGTGGGGGTGTGATACCCCCCAAAAATTTTATTCGAAGCTTCAGTCGGCAGGACTGTTATTCTAGTCGGCAGACAAAAATATTTTTGACGTATAAAACTACTATCGATATAATTTTCAAAGCATATAAACACTCAACTACAGTATGGTAGGCGAGCAAGCCCAGGTAATCATCTTCGTGACCCCTGTCACGAGGCATGCTAGCTCACTTCCATATAAAATGAAAATGAAGTGTAATAGGAGATACCACTGGAAATTGTAACTTGAACCCTGAATACTAGATTCCCCTTATTACGTTTTCGTAGCGCTTTGCATTGTGGTTATAGTGCATGGTATCGCTAATAAATGCACCTTGTCAATATTTTACACGTCATTACGTTCAGCTTTTTGGTAGGGCATTCAATTTTAACAATATGTGATTTCAATAGTTTTCTTTTGGGGACACCCTGTAGAGTTTTCAGTCTGGGCTGAATGTCATCTCGGTTAGTGATTACGGCCTCGAATGAAAATATTGAATGTTTTCGTGAATATTTTGCTGTTGGCTATCGCGCACGGCGCACCTGACCCTAGCTTTTTTAAAACTAGTTCTTGCACGGGTCAGGACAAAAAATATACCATCTTGAATATCAGTGATACCACTATAACCACAATGCAAGGGGAATCCTCAATTACCTTTCATTTCTTCTAACCAATGTTGCATCACTAGCTATTAGAAATCTCATTAACCTGCAATTATGCTCTGTAATTACATACAGAGCCTCATCAGAGTTACTTTCCACCCACACACTATGGTTTTTATATTTTTGGTATCTAATCAAAATGTGCCAGGAGAAGTGTCAATTTCACCTCATAACAACAAGCTAAATATATAAAAAAATGAAGATGGCGAACATTTCATTCTTTTCGATCAAAATATTTGTAGAAGTGAGCCGGATACGAAAAAACGCTAAAAGAGTATTATATATATAATCTTAAAAGTTCTTCCAAATGAGAAAATGAAAAATATATATATTGCCATTAAGGAATTTACTTTAACAGCAAATTTATTACGTTTAATTGTTAAAGTATTCTTTGTATCCTTCAACAACACTCTGTCGTATATTGTAGAAAAATTTGGGAGCTTTTTTAGCAACCAACCATTCATTACTCTTCGGAAGTTTTCCATTGTAATTATTGGTTGCTAACATCAACGTTTCACACTTGTGCTCAGGCTCTTCTTCGTCTTGCACGGCGATGTAAAAATTCCCACCATTCGTTGCGCGAACAATACCGTCAGCCCCCGCTGGCCTGGAAGGATGCGTGGCATCCAGGAAGAAAATAGCAAAAGCTTTTTTGCCAAACCAGTCGCTGGTTTCGCACGGAGGTGAAATATATACTACGTTGTCGCGGTTACTCAACGGAGAGGATAAATTCAAAACTGAACGTGCAATACATCCACCATTTGGTAGCTTCTCCAATATTTCCAAAACTGAAATTATAATATAAAAATTACAAGTTAATCTCTGGCAATTCTGAATAGCGTCATGTAATTTTAATAAAGTCTGCTTTCGACTGGCCAAAATTGTTCGCAAGAAGCTAAAAGAAATACTGTATTTCTTTTAAATTTTCTAATTTTTATTTCTTTGAGTTTTGTCCCCTGAGTACAACACCTTGTAATGTGTTCTTACCCAACCATTAATTCAAAGCAATTAGAGTTGTTAAATTATTACTAGGGTTCAAGTTTTTTTATGTCCAATGAATAATTTTGTGAATACTGCATCGGTAGAGACAAGTAGATTTTTAGTGCTCTTTATAATGAAATTAAACGGTGTGATTATAAAAAAAACATATAGTACTTTTTAACAATGAGTTTTAAGGATTAAAACTGAAAATGCAAAATATGCGTGGTGTGCTGTGAAGCGCGGTGTATAAAAAAAAAACGGAACCTCGGAATTTCCCAAGAAATCGACATTCAGTTTTTTACTGTAAGGACAAAAGATTTTAGGTGCCTGGGAATTCAAACGTTATTTTGAAGGGTTAACCGCTATATTTCGACATATACTTATTTTATGCTATTTGAACGCCAGGGTTGGGCAAAATCAACGAGTAAAAACGTTGCAAAAGCATACGTAGATGTACAAATAACAGCGAATCATTGTAACTTTATTATGCCAATAACTAATTGCTGCGGAGCGAGCGAGCCTGAAGCGAGCGAGCGTAGCAGCAGCCTAATATGTCTAATATGTGCAGAGAGGGGGTTTTGAACTAAATTTTATTAACTGTGATTTTATTTAGCGCATGGAATTGTGGTCGTGCGCGCTTTCTATGCGCAGAACACAAATTTTAAACTTTCAAGTCTAATGTTACGCTTACATTTGTTTTGGACTTTGGCCACTGTCAGTTCTATATTTTTATAAAGTTTTGGTTTCTTAGTGTGATAAATCTGTGTATATAGTCTATATAATGTGGTAAATGCCCTAGTAGTAAACAGACTTGATATGAAATCTGATATTAATTTACTTGTATGTCAATGAGACGCACATGTTTAATATCTGTCACCTCTGATTGCCCTTTAACCCCTGTTCTTTGCTACTTCAATATATATTGCTTCTTCTCAGTTCCATTCACAGCTCACTAGTCGCTGCAAGTAATCACTGTGCTTGATATAATTTGTGCTGTTTACTGTAGTTCTATTTGCTTTTAATGCCCGCAGCAATCCCTACCTTGCAGGTACCCTAGTTAATATAGTAATGCATGGTTGCACGCATATATAATAAACTAAACACTGTTCCAGAACATCGTTTGCACTCCATTTCATATCGTTTCAGAACAGTGTTGAGTGTTCCAAATGTTCTAGAACAGTACTAGCAGCCTGAAGGGGGCGTCGGGGCGAATTTCCTAGGAATTTCGCCCCACAATAAAGATCCATACAGAAGGGCCACTTATATACGTCGGAAGCTCCGAACTTTCTGTGCTCGCGAATGTCGCATTATGGCTGGCCGCCATTTTCCTAGCCAGTCAATGACATTTTCTGGCCAATAAACGCGCTGTACTGGCTGGCTGCTCCACCTTCTGGCCAGTAAACTGCATATTTTTGCATAAGAAAACGAGGACACGTTGCACAGCTGAGTGACCCTTCTGTTACTGATCTTTATTCTGTGCCTGGGGGGCGAATTGTACGGGGGGAGGGCGGAATATTCCTGGGACACCGGATTCCTCCGATTCGGCGATTCCCCGTTCCCTGTTTTAAAGATAGCCTATACAGGTCTATTCAGGCAGTACTCCCTCGCTACGGACGTACCTGAGTTCTTATCCCATTCCCTTTTGTCTGCAGACATCATTTCTACAAATTTCTCGGCAGACATCGGCATATTCTCGAAGCGATAAAGCAATTTAACACGAACCTCCTCATTTGGAAATGTTTTGGTCCAGGAATTATATTCATTCACAATTTGATACCTTTGTGTCCAACCGTCACCCTTATCTAAGTCTTGTTTCAGAAATTTCGCTTTTTCCCAAGCCTTTTCCACATCCAAATGTGGTGCATCAATGTCTTCGCGTTGTGTTGCCGCCATCACGAATACGATATCACGATTAATATTAATGAATGCATGAATATTGGTCTAATTATAAACCGCAAAAACCCAACAGGCGAACACTTGAATTCAATGACGTGTTTCCCCAGCCGTTTGACGTAATTATGTAAAATGGATTTTTTTTGCATCTCAGTCGATTCAATAATATAGTTGAAGGATCTTGTAGATGGAAACTATATCGAGTGGAAATTTATATACATTTATTAGACCTAATCAGGAACAGCTGCAAAAAATGCAACAACAGGTCCTAGCTGGCAGTACAGTGCTCTAACCACTAACTGAGCTACAGAGCTACATTATATAAAAATAGGCACCCAAGGAGAGCGTAAGGATTTGCAATTTTGTTGTCAATTTTATAATGCGAGAAAGATTGAAAAATATCAGTTCATAATGTAAGAAGCCAAGAACGATGGAAAAATATCGCCCAAAATGTAGTATAACAAAACACAACATCATGCATGACAAATCTTTTCTTCGAATGTCAACTTTTGTTTAATTAATTACTGTTATATTTAAAGCGGTTAATCTACTACAACTTTAAAAATTACATTTCTAATTTATTTCCAATGAATACGAATGGAAAATGGAACGATACAGTTTTCATAGTGGAAACACCGCTTTTGATTCTATCTATCTATCTATCTATCTATCTATCTAAACAGGTGGGAAATTTGTCTGAGCATGCGCGAGTAAAATGAGTCGTGACTCATTGCGTGAACGCAATTGTGTGGAATACACGCAACGCGTGTTTACAAAAAAGCACAATCGTGTAAATATTGCAAAATGTTTGTACAAAATAAATGACTGTTTTATGTTGAAAGAGTGGACATGTTCTAAATTAATCATACAGAATTTTTTAGTGACGTTCTATTTCAGTAC